AAATAAGATAAAAAAATTAACGGTAAAAAATAAAAAAATTTTACAAGCTCTGGGTTATCAATTAAAGCAGAATGCCTGAGAGTGATATTTTAGATATAACTTCACAGTACGAAACGGATTCTAAAATTACGAAAATTGAATATCATTCATACACACCGTATACTACATCATTTAATAATAATGATGAAATACGTATATCAATCCAGCAAACGGATGTCTACCCATATCTACACGAAAGCTTTATTTTTTTGGAAGGAACAATTACTGATGCTACCAAAGTGAAACTATCTAATAACGGTTACTCTTACCTCTTCGAACAAATACGATTGGAAATCAATGGGATAGAAGTAGATAGCACACGTGTTCTTGGAATCACCAGCTCGTTGAAAGGTTACTTATCCGGTACGCCAGATAACTACAATTGTTATGAAAATGCTGGCTGGAATTTTAAAAACGCAACGCAATCGGAAAATGAAAAAGGTGAATTTAGTGCTTGCATACCATTGAAATATTGGTTAGGATTGTTTGAAGACTATAAAAGAATATTAGTGAATTCTAGATTGGAATTAATATTAACCCGAAGTCATAGTGATTTAAATGCTTTACAAGTTAAAAGTGGTGCAACTGCTACTGAAGGTAAAATCACCTTAAATAAAATAGTCTGGAAGGTCCCACATATAACGGTCGACGATGAAGAAAGGTTGAAATTATTGAAACTTATAGAAAAAGAAAAAAGTCTATTTATCCCTTTTAGATCTTTTGAAACTTTTGAATATCCTGAACTCGGAACCACTAAAAAAGTTGTATGGAATTTGAAAACTGCTTCAAAATTAGAAAAACCGCGATTTATCATAATTGGATTACAAAAAGGACGCAAAAATTTGCTAACAAAAGATTGTAGTATATTTGATCATTGTAATTTAACAAACGTTAAAGTATTTCTGAACTCTATAGCTTATCCATACGATAATTTGAATTTAGATTTTACTAAAAATAACTTCACCTTATTATATAATATGTATACATCGTTTCAAGAATCGTACTATGAAAAAAGTATTCGCAACCCGATATTGAGTCCTTCTACTTTTCTGACAAACGCTCCAATTATAGTTATCGATACTTCGAAACAAAACGATTCAGCCACAGCCTCAGCAGTGGATGTTCAATTGGAAATTGAAGCTTCAGAATCGTTCACAGGTGTGACTGCTTACTGTTTCTTAATTCATGATCGTATTGTAGAATATGTACCTTTTACTAGAGAAGTAAGAAAACTTGTGTAAATATTATTAAGAATTTATTTGTAACAATAAAAAAAACTATGATTTAATAATTTGTGTTTTTCTTGAAATAATTATTTTAGTTTTAAAAATTGGTAAATGTTAAATATTTTTTGTGATATCGTTTGTGCATTTTTGAAAATTCATTTTTGAAGAAATTAAATAACTTATTCAATTTAATAAAACTTTGAGAAAATAAAGAAAAATGAGACACAACTTGAGTGAACGATAGTTCATTAGTAACTGAATATAATAAAAAAAAAATAATCAACTTCAAAAATTATTGTAAATTTGTTTATCAAATTTTAGATAAAAAAAACAGTGTAACCAACACGAGTAAAAAAGAAAAAAATATTAAATATTTTTTTACGTGAGACGAAATTTGGTAGTCAATCAGTGTGAAATTGTGTTACACGGTAAATCTGAGTGCTCCAAGGGGACATTCTCCCCTTGAACTTTTTTTTTTCCCTGGAAAAGCTGGCTGTGAACATACAAATATATACTACTTACCCGACAAGCACAGTTTATTTTTATAGTCATTTTAAGTTCAAATTTTTACGAAATTACTTATTAAAATCAATATTAACGATTTTGGTTTTTTGTTGTAATTTAAAAATATTATTCAGGGATATATGAAACTGAAAAATCAAAATATTATGGGTTATCCATACAATATACCATATTATAAGGAGTAAGAAGTATAGTCAATGATAAGACTGTGCATATTTTTTAGGTGACGAAGGATCTTCGTTAAATTTCGTCCATATCGGTCTCGGGTAATTCTATACCTACGTGGCTACGTATATTGTGTAATGTATATATATATATATATATATATGTATAGGTACACGTACACATTTATTTTCAATTTATATATTATTCAAATTATTATCAGCATTAATGAGATACTGCGATGTATTTACTATTATTATTTAGTAGGTATTTACTATTTACCGAAGTAGTATTTGGACGTCCCCCCACCGCGGATTCTAGATAGTGGTTCTGGGCGTTTCCACTCTGGACTGACACATTTCCCCTGAATCAATATATATATTTTTTCACCTAATAATAGGTTGGAAAATAGGTTCTTTTGTTTTACCCGAAATATACTATCATCATATTGGCATGTTATATCGACTATCATCATTCATGTTATGGATTTACTAGTTATCGCTAATTATTATACAAAATTAAATGGGTACCTAATGATTGATAAACCATAGTAAAGTTATGCGAAAGTATTATTGAATTATACCTATATTAATGTATTAATTTATCAATTATTTAATAAAAAAATCTCGTAACAGTACATATTTTATTTATTTGTATTTGTAATTTGTATAGGTATACCTATTATTGTTTCATATTGTTCTAATATATTTATATTAGTGAATTTTGTATTTGCAATGGTGTTGTTATGGAGTATTAATATTTTAGTCATTAATGCCATTTCGGTTAATTGCCTACTACTCCATTATCACCGGACACCGGTCATTCGGCTGCCCAGCAATATACAAAGGTCAGTACCTACTCAGTTGGGCACTCGGGCGCATGTGAACTGATTTACTAGTGTACAATACAGTGGACTCAAAATTATAATATAGGTATATAATATAGCATTCCGACATTCGTATACGGTAGACCGTAGTCCGTACTCCGATCTATAGATAACTATGTGTTTATTGTTATCAGCATAATATTTATAACACCGGTTGTTTGCTATAACGTATTACCTATATCCTGCCGGCCCACGACGCTCATCCAGTGCACGATTCATACGACTCTATGACCATTTCACTCAGTGGGCATAGTGATCGTATTGGTTATTGTTAATTGTTATTAGGTACTTTTAAACTTGTGTAGTTGTGTGTGTACTACAGTAATTATTTTGTAGTTAAAAATGTATGAAATGTTCAAATTTTATATCGAAGGATTGAAAATTTAAAGCAAGTTTCCACGTAAGTAGTTAATTCTGTTACCAAAAAATCTATAAAATACAGAAGCACAGTTTATTTTTATAGTCATTTTAAGTTTAAATCTGGACGAAATTACATATTAAAAATCCTAGTAATTTGGTTGTGATTGTATAATATTATTCGTGGGTAATTGAAAGTTTTAAAGTATACTATTATATATATATATATATATATATATATATATATATATATAATAGTATCACGGTTTGTTGTTGATGTATAACAAGTTATAAGTACCTAAAGGCTATTGTGATATGATTAATTTAGAATTTATTATAGGTACAATTTTTTTTAATACCATAGATAAGTATATAATAATATGTCTTATACAGTTATACCCAGACTGACATACCGTCTCCGCTCAGAATCGTTTTTCTTACACAATGATGTTATATTATTGAATTCAAATTTAATACCATCCATTATACAGTGACCCACTTGTAACCTACTGTACAGCAGAGCACCTTTTTAAGTACTATTGATACCCCTTAATGGGTTTCGTTATAATGGGGCCTTAGATGAATTGAACGTCATAATAATTACAATTGATTTATGAATATATCCAAGAACGATCCAAGCATATTGAATACCACGTCTAAAATCACATAAATTTTATAATTTTGAGAAACCATTTTTAAAAATTGTTATCCTAAGTATAAACATTATATTAAGTCAGAAACTAGTCATTAGAATTTCGATATACATCAAAATTATCAAGAAAATCATTCCCTTAATAATTTGGAGTAAAACACTTCATAAGTAGTAGTTAAAAAAATATTAACAATTTAAAAATATATGAACCTTATTCATATTTAATAATTCTAAAAAATAAGTTGAAATAAATGTACTATTAAAAGGAAAAATGAGGATGAATTTGATTGAAAAATCACTCTGTATATGATAAGATAAACACATGTGTCTAAATTTGTACATTTTTAAAACGTATTTTCAAAAATTGCTTAAATAAAATTATAAATAGACAGGCTCGGACTGGCCCGGACCGCTGATCAGCGATTGCTGACGGGGCCCTCAACTAGTCGGGGGTTCTGGGCCCTTGGCTTGTCGATTTATTATTTATTACATTTTTGTTTTATTAGATCTCATAATAATTTAAGAAATACAAATGCAAAAAGGATCAAAAAATCTTTTTACCATTTTTAAATAATTATAAATAATATTACTATAATATAGTATATTATGTATAATATTATATAGTACCTAGCTGGTAGGTAACATTTTTCGCGGAAGAATGCAAAAGCAGTACCCGCGGCGTCGTCGCCCGTCGGTTTCAAACTGAAAAAAAAGATGCTAACATATTACTATGTAGGTATAATAATATGGTATAAGAGTACACAAAACCAGTATAATTTCGACTTCCTAATTGACAGTATTATTATTTACTATTTAGGTACTATTAATAAATTTGTCATTGGTTGGCCGCCTGCAAGCTGCGATACGGTCAGAATTGAAATAGTATTAGTAGAATAAATGGTTCTATTTCTGGAAATTCTGAACACTTTTATTACAGATAACAAAATAAACGTATTGCTGGTCTACAGTATATTTGGGTGATTAACGCTAAAATTAGCAAAATTGTTGCGTCAAAATATTATTTTGTCAGTATAACGCGATTAGTTGTTAGATGCGTATCATAATTTATAATAATTGAAGCCAGTGTCTACATTTTATTTTAATAAATTGTGATTTTATGTTAATTGTTTATTAATTGTATATATTGTAATTTGTAATGCATAAAAGAAAATATCAGTGTGGTGCTGATAAAAGGAAAGCAAAACAAAAGGAAGAATTAAAAAAATGTGCGAATGACCAACGGCAAAAAAAACTTTGTTTCATTCCACAAACGGAAGGTAAGACCACTTTTAATACTCAGTAATGTGCCCTCTGTGGAGGGATTCTTCGATATTCCTTTTTGTACAAGAAAATGTCTTTGGTTTGCTAAACACCTAAGTCAAAACTCAAAAGTCATAAATTGGAATAAATCTAAGGCACATGCAAATAATGACGGAAATTAATTTTCTCTTGTTCGTTGATTTTAATAGGGAGAGCAACAGTCCCGCTCGAGTCACTACCTAATGATTGTGAGAACTATTCGGAGCCCTCTAATACATCCAGTATTTCTGAAATTAATTTGAACGAATCCAATGACAACAATATAGTGTGTGATGATATTAGTGGTCAACAGTCAAGAGAAAATGTCGTTAACAAACATCAAACAAATCTTAGTTTTAATCTACAAACTGGAGGTAAGTCCATTATTAAATACTACAATAAATTTAAAAATGTTCTCTACCTAATAACAATAAATAGCATACCTAACTAAAAATTAAAATAACATTTTTATTACAATTATAAAACTATCCTTTTAGTATTAACATAAAATATTGAATAATTTATTGTTCATGCTAACACTTTTATTATAATTAATTTTCTCTTTTTCCTTAACTTAACTAGGGAGTGCAATAATTCGGCCCAAGTCTACTGATTATATAAATGATACAGAGCCCTCGAACACATCCAGTATTTCTGAAATTAATTTGAATGAATCCAACGACAACAATATAGTGTGTGATGATATTAGTGGTCAACAGTCAAGAGAAAATGCTGTTAACAAACATCAAACAAATCTTAGTTTTAATCTACAAACTGGAGGTAAGTCCATTCTTAAATACTACAATAAATTTAAAAATGTTCTCTACCTAATAACAATAAATAGCATACCTAACTAAAAATTAAAATAACATTTTTATTACAATTATAAAACTATCCTTTTAGTATTAACATAAAATATTGAATAATTTATTGTTCATGCTAACACTTTTATTATAATTAATTTTCTCTTTTTCCTTAACTTAACTAGGGAGTGCAATAATTCGGCCCAAGTCTACTGATTATATAAATGATACAGAGCCCTCTAACACATCCAGTATTTCTGTAATTAATTTGAACGAATCCAATGACAACAATATAGTGGGAGATGATAAAAGTGTTCAATATGCAAAAGAAAATTGTGCAGACAACAATACTCAACAATCAGCTTCTTTTAATCTAAGTAGCGTAGCATATTTTATTAGACCGCCTTGTAATGAAACAGTAGAAGTCAAATTAGCCTTTTTAAAAAATCACCCTATTCAACCTTTTGTATTAATGAATGATAAACTTTCATTTGACCCCAATAAGGTCTATTATCAAAATATTGAAACTACAAATGATCAAAATAAAGATAAAATTCCACGTAAATGGTTGTCTTATTGTTCTTACACTAAAAAAGTATATTGCACTACTTGTATGGCATTCTGCCCAATACGTGAAAAAATTAGCAATTTAATATCTGGACTAAATGTTACTAATTCTAAAAATGTCTATAATACATTAAAAATACATGAATCATCACAAGCACATCGTGAAGCAGTTTCTGCATTGCTCAGAGCAAATTTAAAAAAAAGCATCGGTAATTGTATTGATTTTAATTTAAAAGAAATACATTCTAAAGAAGTAGAACATTCTCGTTTAGTTATTAAACGGCTAATCGATATAATTTTGTTTATTGGTAGACAAGGAATATCTTTCAGAGGTAAAGATGAAGCGGCTTATAGTTTAGAAGATAAGTCTGTTAACCATGGTAATTTTTTAGAACTTGTGATGTTACTTAAAGATTATGATGTTGTGTTAAATGAACATGTTAAAAAATGTATAGAGTTAAGCAAAAGACGTAAAGAAAAAGAAATGAATAATAAGTTTTCCCAGGTCCATGGTCATGGAAGAGGATCTTTGGTCACATTTTTATCAAAAACATTTATAAATAAACTCATATTAGCAATTGGTCAAATAATGCAAGAAAGCATAGTCAATGAAATTAAACAAGCCCAAATTTTTAGTATCCTTGTTGATTCAACTCAAGATGTCGCAGTCTTGGATCAACTAGCTATATGTGTAAGATATACTTTAAAAAATAATGTTTATGAAAAACTTTTAAAACTAACTATTGCTCATGATTCTACCGGTATTGGCTTATTTAATTTAATTAAAAGTGAATTTTTTAAACTAAATATTGATATGTCAAAAATTGTTGGTTGCTCTTTTGATGGTGCTGCTAACATGAAAGGTGCCTATAACGGTTTACAGTATCATTTAAAGAGCATTAATCCATTATGTATATATACACACTGTTATGGACATGCTTTAAACTTGGTTATGGTAGATTCAACTGAGTGTTGTCAAAATGCTGAAATGCTTTTTGGTTTAGTACAACAATCTGCCACATTTTTGTCTGATTCACATAAAAGAACAAAAGTTTGGTCTGATTTAACCAAAAAAACACACAAATGTCATGATAAGCTAAGAAAATTAAATTTGATTGGAGCCACTAGATGGTGGAGCAAAGACAAAGCTTTAACTTCTGTAATACAATTTAATGAGCCTAATATTGAAAATTCTCGGTTTTTACTATTCATACATTTTTTATTACAAATAATTTCTAAGGATTCAAAATTTGACGCAAAAACTAAATTTACTGCACGCAATCTTTTGAAACTTTGGTCTAAATTTGAAGTTATATTCACTGCGGCCATTTATATTGATATTTTTAGTGTAAGTTCTCCTGTTTCTACATTTTTGCAGTCTCGTTCATTAAATTACCTTACGGCTTTTAACATGACTAAAAACTTATTACATGAAATTAAAAAAAGGAGAGATAATTCTGATCAAAAATTTATTAAGCTTCATTCTGATGTCCATAATTTTATACAAAAAATTAATAATGCATTGGTATCAAATGGTGATGATTTTATGATAAAAGATGATTTTAGTAAAAAATGTTTAGAGAAAGTTAGAGTAGCTAAAAAAAAAAAAATGCCAGGAGAACTAGCAGCTGATGAGAGACCTTCTCTTTCATCAGAAAACCGATTTAAAGTTGAAACATATAACTATATATTAGATGTTATGACATCTAGTATAGAAAAGAGGTTCATCAGTAACTCGGAGTTACTTAAAGATTGTATCTGTCTAGATCCTAAAAATTTTAAATCTATTAAACATGGTTTGCCTGATAATTCCCTAGTTAAACTTGGTGAATTAACTAATATAGAAGTTAATATTTTAGCTTCAGAATTACACCAATTTGCTATTCAATTTGATGCTATAACTAAAACTTTTGAAGAAACAGTGTCTGATACTGATGATCAATACCATGACTACGAATCGGATTCTGAAAGAGAACTATCTACTAAAGAAACATTAGATTGTAAAGTTTGTAATAATTGTTTAAGATGTGCTTTTAACATTTTACATGATATGGTTCAACAATCATGTAGTTTCAATAATATTTACTATGCTTATAAATTTGTGTTGACATTGCCATGTACTCAAGTGACATGTGAACGCACATTCTCAAAATTAAAAAATATAAAAACCAAACTAAGATCTTTGATTTCACAAGATATTATGGAAACATTATTACTGATTAATATTGAAAGAGATTTTATAGTTGATAAAGATATGGTTATCAATAATGTTGCTAAAAGTTCAACAGCACTAACTAGAATATTGTTTTAAAATAAGTTTATAATTATAATTAGTAATCCAAAATTGTTTGTATTGAATAATTATTATATTTTGAAATTTTGTTATAACTACTTATGTGATGTAGGTTGGATTTTTTATTAAAAGGAAGTATGACAAAATTTGACTTGTTTTTCTTCAAAATTATATTAAAAAAAGCATTTTTGAATAGCTTCAAAACATTAATTTAATTAAAAGTCCCAAATGGCCAAATATATGTATGCATGTATATATTTATATACATGTACCAGATTAAACTTTTATCTAAAAAAAATGGCTTTTGGGGGCCCTTTATAGAGATTGCTGATGGGGCCTTTTGGAGTCAGTCCGACACTGTAAATAGATATAAAAAATGTTCACACAGTACGATTCTTTTTTTAAATTTTTAGGTCGACCATAATATACGAAGAGAATAATAAATATTAATGTTGTTTTTTCATACCAACTATTTATATTTTTATATTTTGAAAAACACTACAGACACAACATACTGAGATATCTCGAAATGGATGTACATATATTTTAATTTACGAATTTTGAAATTGTATTATAATATCATGAATTATCGAATACGTTCTAAACAATTTTAAAATTAAAATATATGCCCTTAAAACTAAAACACCACAAAATATGCATTACACACTTTTAATGCTTAGTAGAGTGTTGAAAATAATTTATTTCTATCAATAAATCCAATGACCCATAAAAAAAAAATATATGCGAATGCAACAACTTTTGAGCACTATTAGGTTAGGTTAGGTACAGCATCTCCTGTGAAAATCGATGTCTGGCCAGGTAGGTATAGTATAATACAAAGGTGAGCAAGTTGATGAAAATAATTAATTCAGTTAAAGTTGAGTTAAGTTAACAGATCATCGTTAGACGTTAGGTTAAAAGTGTTAATAATTTACAAATAATAAATTAAAATTTAATACCTATGAAATAAAATGATCAATAAACTCGATTTAAAAAATACATTAAAACTGTTTTTGGGTTGTGTATTTATGTATTGTCATTTAAAACATTGTATTTCTTACGTGGACGAATCATCGTCTTCTTCAAAAGCTTTTCCACTCGATTTAGCTCGACACTTTTTGCATTTGCGCGAATTATTTTCAGTAAGTAAATACAAATAAATTTAAGCAAAAGTCATAGCGGGTAATATTTGAATAGATATATATAAATATACATCTAAACACAGTGAGATATGAAAAAATATGTATACACACCTTTGTAAATTGTCCAAAAGCAACCCCTGTGATTTACTGGCAAACTTTTTTGTCTCTGCTCATATTCTTTTTGACGTTGTGCATTGGATTTTTTTTTTGACTCTAAAATTACATTAAGTACAGCATTATTAAAATAAATTTATCACTAAAAATATATAAATATAAACATAAATGTATAAAGGTCGTAGAAATCGATTTGTCATTTAAAATATTAAAAAAATTTTAAATTATAACCGTTAAAAATGTTTATGTATTAATTAAACATTCATAAAGTTTGAACTTGAGTTATAACCAGTGGTGTGTGTCATTTAGATAGTTTGTCGGTTTTATTGTTTTAAATTTAATTATCTCCATTGATTATTATGTTTTTATTTGCAATAAATCAATTGTTGTCAAAAAAGTCATTATTTCATTAAAAAAGAAATTAAGTGTCCTGATAATTTAAAATGTCTTATATTTTTTGTGCATTACACGTTCTTTTTTTTTTTTATCCAATAACTTAATAATAATATTGTATTCGTAAATAAAATAATAAATTATATTGACTATAAAATTATAAATAAGTGTAGACATTCTAATTTAATTTATAAAGTCTTAAAAAACCTAAAACTGTAAAACTATCTGTCTTTTATCTAGATAAATATCCAACGCATTACCTGTTATGTTATCATAATATTATCTAGATAATTTTAAAGTTATCTGTGCACAACACCGGTTATAACACAATCTATACAAGAGTGTCAATCGTATGCAAAGAATTAGCATCAATAAAATGTCTATTCCTAAAATTTTAACTTAGCGCTTTTAAAACATAATGAGATATTATATTGAATATCGATAAGGTAGAATTAATATTAACAAGCACCGACTTTGCCTTTTAGGACAGACACATTTTAAGTTCAAATTTGGATGAAATTATATAAAAAAAACATAGAATAACTATATTAGTTATTTCGTTGTGATTGTATAATATTATTCGTGGGTACTTGAAATTTCTAAAGTACACTATTATATATATATCATAGTATCAGGTTTGTTGTTGGTGTATACCTATAACGCTTTATAAGTACCTAATGGATATTGCGATATGATTAGTTTGGAATTTATTATAGGTACCTATAATAGGTCAATTTTTTTTTAATACCATAGATAAGTATTTAATAGGGCGAATGTAAGTTCCCACACGAGATATAGCAGGTAAAAATTACCCCTGGATATCCATACGTAAGTTCCCACACGAAAAAAATTACACTTGTACGTAAGTTCCCACACGAAATTTCAGATAATAATGTTTATATAAATTGCTTATAATTTTAACTTTTAATTCGTTAATGCTCAGCCTGGCCAAACACAAACTTCCTTCCCACTTTATTTAGACTTAGGACTAACAACTTAAACGTAGTTGGTGTGGTTAAAATTTGTTTTGTTTTTGTATTGCATAAAAAAAAGTCCAATTGAATCTAGTCCGTATAATTATAATAAAAATTAATAATATAATGTGTATAATATTTGTATATGTATAAAATAAAAATAATAATAGAAAAAATCAAATTTTATTAGGTTTATTGCGATAGCTCAAACACTTCACAGTTCACATAGTTATACTGTGTAATTTTTTGTAAGTTATAATCTGAAATTTTATTATTTATATTGTTTTGTTTTTCTTCTGTTTTTTACTTTTTTTTTGAGGCCTATTTAATTCTGATGTTCTTATCTTTATATATGTATTTGTTTGAAACATTTTTAAAACTTCTATTATTTTGAATATATTAGGATGATGATGATAAAAATTTGAATTGAATTCAGAATGGAAACAATCGCAAGTGTTTGTAGTAAGGCTTGTATCAGAACTAGCTCTAGCCCAAATACTAGTGGGGAACGTACTGGTATCTTCGATGTAATGAGTTACTAAATAATCGCAAAATACATTTATTTTATTATTTTCTGGTTTTTCAGCCATGAAACTGTCTACAAAACAATCTCCAACTTCTATTGGATTAAGAAATGGTAAACCAAATAAATGTACCAGCCACTTTCCTAAACTACTAAATTAAATATAAATATCAGATTGACTATGTGACTATTTGACTATGTGAAGTGTTTGAGCTTTCGAAATAAACCAAATAAAATTTGATTTTTTTCTATTATTATTATAATTTTATACCTAAAAAAATTTCGTTTAAGTTGTCATTCCTAAGTCTTAATAACTTAACTTACGTACAGGTGTAATTTTTTCCGTGTGCAGGGAACTTACGTACGGGCGTATTTTTTTTCGTGTGGGAACTTACGTACGGGCGTATATTTTTTCGTGTTGGAAATGACATATGTACTCGCTTACCTGCTATGTTTCGTGTGGGAACTTACCAAACCCCATTTAATATGCCTTATACCTAGACTGACATACCGTCTCCGCTCAGAATCGTTTTTCTTATACAATGATATTATATCATTGAATTCAAATTTAATATCATCCATTATACAGTGACCTATTTGTAACCTACTGCACAGCAGATCACCTTTTTTTTTTAAGCTGTCAATACTCTTTTTGACGTTCAGCATTTGTTTTCTATTGTTTCTTGACACTAAAAATTAATAATCAAAAACAAATAATAGAATTTATTAAAACAATGACGGTTTTCACTTAAGATACAAAATGCTTTATTAATAATATATTAATATTATATAGGTACTAGCTGATGCCGTACACTTCGTTGCCCGTTAAATGTACCATCTTTATTTGACTCAAACTTTGTTCAATTCGTTATTTAATATTCGGTGTATGGTGTTCAACATTTATCTTAACTTTTCAGTTGACCGCAATAAAAATTCTGAGTCGCAGCAGTATATTATCAGGTAGGCAAATCTAAATGTGGTAGATCGCGGACCCCGTGCTGTTTGTACGTAAGTGTATGATTTAACTCTGAAGTAGGTATCAATGTTATATCAAGTTTGTAGTATTCCAATTATAGTGTATATTAATATAATCAATTAATACAAAATCCTAACCTAACCTAACCGTACTAATATCAGATGAATAAAAAAAAAAAATTTAATCATTTTTAAACTATTAAAATAAAAATTTAATTTTTTTTTAATTTGAAATGAACCACTCTGTATACCACTACGTATACAGATATATTGAATTGAAATCGTTTCATTTGTCAGTATTGCTAATATTTTCACACGTTTAATCTCACGATTCTAGCGGAGAGCAGATTCTCCCGAGAAAAGCTTTCACTTCAAAAATAATAACCTACGTTTTTAAGTACTACGTCATAAATAGTATTTTTCAGTGCTTAAAATCAAAATGAAAAATTTTAATTTCAATTTCACTTATTGGTATTTGTTTTTCCTGGTTTAAAATTAATTATTCATTTCATAATTTGATGATTTTTATATTGTTGTACAATATCGTTTTAAGTGTATTATGATTTTGAATTAGGTAGGTACATTGTGAACATTGTTTTCCTTTTTATCGATTTACAATAATAATTTTACATTTTTACCTACATAATATGAACAACATTATTGTCCTATCTGCTATAATTATTAATTTTTTTTAATTTGAATTATTTTTTTAAATCGATTTTTATGTTATTAAAATTATCAAACGATTTTTATTTTAGTATGTGTGTGTGTGTGTGTGTGTGTGCAGTGGCGTAGCCAGAATTATGAAATGGGGGGGGGGGGGGGTTTAAGTATAGATTAAAACCAAGTCTTTACAGTTTTCGAATATAAATAAATGTTGGGTTTGGAACTTGACTT